TTTTTTTTTTTCAAGATCGCCAACATAATTCAAATCAGAAAATCTCACAACACTACAATCAAATGTCCATATCTTACATCAAATCATAATTTATATTACCTCTAAGTTGCCTCAGAAATTTATTTCCTTGCTTCACATTTAGTTTAACTAGGCTTGTCCTTGTATTTGTTCATAATGTTGACTCCATGTGATATGCCTAGATGTGTGCACATCAGATGATATACATTATAATTCTAATTGCATTAGCATAAAGCTTTCTATCATTTACCGTTCTTCTAGTGATTAAGGAGTAGAAGTTGCTAAGGAATGAAATAACCAGCAAGTGAAAAAGTAATAAGCTTTGTAGTCTTAAGTCTGCAAACCAAATCCTTGTAATACCTAGTCAAACGCTTGGAATAAAGCATCGGGCTTTCTTTTTATTTATCTTTAACCCCAAAATCGTTCTAGTAGTACTAAGATTTTTCATTTAAAATGTTGCATTCAAATCAACTATTTCACTTCTTAATCTATAATTTATTTTTGGATGTAATCAACTTATCATCAATATATTTGAATATGTATTAAAAAAAATTCATTGTAAGTTGCTTTATCTTCATATTCAAATGTTCTAACAACAGATTATGTATTGCAATCATTACTAATAAATTATGAACAAGGATGCTTGACAACATGTAAGAAAACTTTGAAGCCCACATCTATCTCCCCTTTGCAGCCATTCGTGCTTTGCATAAGATGCTATCTTTATCTTTAGTTCCCACTTTATGTTTAAGCTTTGAAGAATTGTTTCAACATGAAGGAGAATGGGTTGTGGTGAGGAGAGAAAAAGGTGAGTGAAGTAGAGGGGGCCTTTTCATGTGAGGAAGCCGAGAATGAGATAGGGAGAGAATAAGTTTATATATATATATATATATTATTTTTTTTTCTTTTTTGTTTAAAGTTGAACCAAATTCCAAGTCTCATTATTGTACAAAAACTCTCATAGCTATGGTCCACTGCTTGGATTCACTTTCATTAACGGCTAAATAAAAGTGGATGGATTTTGATTGTCAATAATCTTCTCAACGCTTAAAGCATAGACAATCATATGAAAACAAGAGGAATCATAATGAAAACTTTGGGACACTCTTAAGTTGCCTTTTAGACCTATAAGAAACAATAGTTTGTTTTGCTTGTAGTGGTATAACTTCCTGTTGATGTTTAGTGGTGACCTATCATCTAATATTTAGAGATCATGCTCCAAATTATATCTAGCATGTCTTCATAATATCTTATATCCTCCAAAATCATCAAGCTACGTTGAATATTTCTAATGCAAGTCTAACTTACTAAGCATGTTACCATTGTTCACCAAGAACACAACTGACTTGCAATAAGTGCCCTAGGATTATGTACTTCTTGGCTCTAGAGTCTAATTTAGCATCCTCAAATAAAGCACTATCGGAGGGACAATCAAAAATTCATATAGCTGAATAAGTTGAACGATAATTAGCTGTACCTCCTTGAGAGTTCTCAACTCAATAGCATAATTGGAGGCATATTCACTAAGTAGCATTCCATATGAACGGCCTCTACACAAAAATGTTTCTCAAATTAGCATTTGATAATATACATATGGTCCTCCTTAAGTGTAATTTATAATCCTACTACCACTCCATTGAGGCATGCCGACTATAGTCTCTTCTCTTTGACAATTCAATATGAAAATCCTGTAAACAAAAATCTTTCTCAAATTAGAATTTGATAATATACATATGGTCCTCCATAAGTGTATTTTCTAATCCTTCTACCACTCCATTGAGGCATACCCAGTATAGTCTTTTCTTTCACATTCCTTCCTTTTTGACAAAAAGATCCCGAACTTTGAATAACAAAATTGTTAGACATTATCAATCCACCTCTTAACCTCCTTGAAATTTTTCTTTGTGTGTGCATTCCACTTCTCAAATATCTTAATTATATCACTCTTTTGCTCAAGCATAAAGACTCGAATCTTCCTCGAGAAATTACTTCTGAAGATAAGCAGACATTTAGATCTATCATTCTGTCATATGAACTCTAGTAGGAAATTTGAATCTATAATGGGTTCCATAACATAATACTCACAGAACTCTAGGGCTATCTAGTCATGTAATCACAAAGGAAACCTCTTTTGAAAACTCTAATTAGCCTTACTTTGACATTTCTCCAAGCCTTATATGTCATAACCTAATTAAATTCTTTGAGCAATAAAATTGATTCATTACTGTAGAAAAGAGGTTTGAAAGGAGGAATTCCTTAATCAAATCCTCCAAGGTTTGAAGATGGTGGCAGACCCAAATGTGATAGGTAAATATGGAAAGAATCAAATCTTCCATATTTTCACACTTCCCCAAGCTAGGTCGTAGATGTTGTAGAAACCAAACTTGGTATTGAATTTTGAGGTGCTGAAAGGAAGACCATTGGTAAAGATATCCGCAACTTGTTGGTGTGGCAGGATGTAGCTTAACTATATAATTCTCCCATGGACCGTTTTTAAGATGAAGTGTCTATCAACTTCAATATGCCTAGTCCTTTCATGATGCACATAATTTTTGAAAATGTTGATAACTTCTTGACTGTCACTGTATAGGCCTATTGGAAGAACATCTCAGTTCCCTTAACAATTTTTGAATTCAGATTATTTAATAGATCCCCATGGCAAGTGCCTTACATTCTAACTTTAACTGCTTCTCGAAACAAAACTTGCTTCTTACTTCTCCATTTAACCAAATTTTGTTATACATATGAGCAATAATATGTGTGGATCTTTTGTTAATGATTTCTTCTGCCCACTTAACATTAGTGAACTTTCATTTCTCTATTTCTGGTTTTCTCAAAATTTAATCTATAACCTGGAGTTTTCTTGAGAAATCTCAAAATACTTTAAACTATCTCCAAATGCTCTATTTTAGGCTATTCAAGTGTTGGATCTCAATATTGACAGAATGTGCAATATTTGGCCTAGCATGTGATATATAGTTGAGTTTTACTACCAATTTCTTGTATCTTCCCTTATCCATAGATATTTTTTTTTCTTTCTTGTTAGATATCTTGTTTGTCACATTAAATGACTTTAGATGGTTTGGTCACATTAAACGTCAACCATCTAATTATCCTATTAGGAGAATATAGATGTTTTAGATTCGACTTATGTTAAGAAAGGCAGAGGTAGAACTAGGAAGACTTGAGCTTATTGTATAAAAAATGATCTTAATTTATTAGAACTAAATGAAAATATGACACTAAATAGGACACAATGGAAAAAAGGATTCATGTAGCCGACCCCACGTAGTGAGATTAAGGTTTTGTTGTTGTTGTTAGATATCTTGTTTGGTTTTATTGGAGTATCAGCAGGTTTGCAACCAATCATCCATAGCTTTTTTGCAGATCTATGATGTATTTCTTCTGTGATGTAACAATTCATTGCTTGGATCTTGCTACCTCCATACCTCGAAAATATACCATGTTTCCTAGGTCTTTGATTTCAAATTCAGCGGCAAAAAATTCTTTAATTATAAAAATTTGTCTTTTATCATCACCAGTAAGAACCATATCATCTTCTTCTGCATCAGAGCCTACACTCTAGCTTCTCCCTTCAGTCGGTTCATTCTTCTACCAGCTTGCAAGCCTGTCATAAACCATTTTCTTCCTTGCAGCCGGTTCCTCTATATAGGGTGCAGACTCTCTTCTTATATTCTCAGCAGCCTATACCACTCCTGTTAACCCTCCTCTGGCCTTCTGTGCCGCCGGAACTTTATATGCTGCAGGCCTTTCAGTATTCCTCCGTCGGAACTACTTCTCTAGAGCCTCTCCTCCTTGCCATCCCGAATTTCTCATAACTACCCGCCCCCTATCATACCCTGCTGATCCTCCGCAGGAGCAACTAGTTGTATCAAGACTCCTTCTCGTAGCATGTTGCAGCAGACGTTCCGTAGCAGTTTCTGCTGGCATCTTCCTGCAGGAGCAACAGCAGTGGCAGCCAAAAGCAGCAGCAGCAGCAAGCAGTAGTATAAGCCATTTTTTTCCTTTCTTGTAACAACCTTTCATCTTCCTATATAAATGACAGCAACTAGAAGCGGCCCTAAATATTTTTGGGGTTAACGATCAAATACGGGATGAAGACTTCAAGTTCTATTCTAGAGGTTAATTATGAATCACAGATCAAGAATTTTGTTCAGACGACTCCTGAACTAACTTTATCACAAATCATAAACTTAATGGTCATAACTACCTTCAATAGTCTCAATCTGTGTTTATGCATATTTGAGGTAGAGGGAAAGAAGAACATCTCATGGGAGAGGGCACATTTCCTGAAATTGTTTTGGGGAGTGGCATAGATGAGTCTAGTATCAAATATATGGAAAAGAACAAATTGAGAAGAGTAACAAAATAGACCAAATTCTCTCATAAAAAATTGGCAGAAAGGATGGAGAAGATCTCACTGAATTTGGAGCATTCTATCCCAAAGAAAAAATCAAAGAAGAAAATAAGAATTCCTCTTACAAAATTTCCAAGCACGAAAGCAAAATAAATTTCCTTCTTCATGGCGTAAGCAAGGCGCCATGATTTTCTCATCCAAGTATGTGGAAGGATGTTGTAGCCCTCCTAATTCATAAAGAATCTCGATCTCAAGCAACTGCCATGCAGTTGCATAGTTCACTGAATGAATGCTCAGCCTTTTTCCACTTCATGGAAGCCACACTCAATATCGCTGTTAAAAGAAAAGGAATGATTGTAGATTTTATTGCAAGAATGGGACTAATTATGTAAGATTGAAATAATGTTATTAGAGTTTTGTATTACTGGTTCTAAACCATGTGCTTTTTATAATGAATTTGAGAATATGTGCTGGATTTAGGAGTTACAATATTTTATAGTTTACTATTTTTTTCCTTAATTAAATATCGTGCGCAATGTAAGAAGTGAAATATATCTTTTTGAAGTATACAATGCTCCCATACTAACTCAAATAGTTGTTCTAGATAAAGGCAACAATGTGAAGTATCTTTTGGTAAATGATGATGAGACTGGATGGGGGATGTATGACAAGCCTCTTCGGTGCTACGGCTGTGGCATAGGTTGGTTTTGGTAAGTATATTAAGTTTTATTTTTTATATTCTTCTTCTGGTTTTACGTTGCTTGTGCTACACTCAATTCCGTCTTTTCACAGTTTTCTGATAGGACTTTTGTGCCCCTTGGTATGGTACTATGCTACATATTTGTACTTCAGTAACCACTATCGGAAAGATCCGAGAGAGCGAGCTGGTCTTGCTGCTTCTGCAATTGCTGTTAGTATCTTTTTCTCCCTCTCCCCCTTGCCATATATAAATATTTCAGATAAGCATGCTTTGCTCTTATTGACCTGAATTCCTGACCATGAGTTTTTTTTATTTTTGGAAGGTTTACATTCATTCCATTTTTTTCTATAAACTTCAATTTTTATCTTTATCCCACCTTATGCCTGAAAAGGTGTATTTCACTTTTTTTTTTAAGTTAAAGTAGTGATAATTTTGATGATATATATAAGATTTGGGTGTTAAGCAAGTAAAGAGTAAAGTTAGGTGTTAGATATGTAAATACATAACAATTGCGTGGTATGTATGCAAATGCCCCTTCTTTTAGATTAGGCTTGAAATCTGGTCCAGGATATTAGGGCTTTTTTAGAATTTTTTAAATTCCTCTTTGGCATTTCAGATGTGAAGATGTATAAGACCCTAAATTTAATAATAAAGTAATAAAATAAATATGCAATTGGACAATAACTCAAGTCATTTATCTTGTTTTGCTCAGAATTAGTCTATGTTGCCATAGTTAGATTCCCAACTCTAATTAAATGTTTTATATTTGAATTTTACAGTGACTCTTTGTTGCTGCAGGATCTTACAAACATATGTGAACTCTTTCGAGAATTTCTTTGCCTAGTGCACAGCTTTTCTGAATATTTAATGACTTTAACTTTTTTTAAAAAGCCCGCCCAACAATTTTGATCATATAAGGGCCAATATAAAATTTGAAACGCCTCTATAATTGTTGGAATGGATTCTCTTGTCTATTGAAGAAAATCATTTGAATTCTATAATTTAAGCATTTTTCAAAGTGAAAAGGGCAAGAAACAAAGATGTCATATGGTTACTTTATTTGATGGGTAGAATAACCACATGAAGGAAATCTAAGGGCTTGTTTGGGCTCTTTTTTTTTTTCATTTATTTTTACAAATATGTTTGTTTAGTTTGGTTTTTATATATTTTTATTTTAGTTACTAAAAATAAATTAACATGTTTTTTAAAACACTCAATAACTACTAGGTGCTTTGAGTTTTTTTAAAAATAATAATATCTTAATCAAATATGTCAAACATATTTTGTTTCAAATTAAAATATAAATAAAATAAAATATAAATATAAAATATAAAATGAAAAACAAAAGTGATCTCAAATGACCACTAAATTATCCTTTATTTCCTTGATATATTAAAATGCTGATTCCTTGCAATCACTCTTTGTAATGTTGCTTGCATCATTCTTTGTTACAACCATGGCTCAAGCTTATCCAGATAAGGGCTTTAAATATCGAAATTTGGCACAATATGATTCTCGCTTAATTTGAGACTTTATTATTTTCTCGGCCGATTTGTCCCCAACCGTATCTAACTTAGACGCCACATAATGAACACATCTTAGATGTAAAAAAATCTCATTAAGGATATCCTAAGCTAAATTTGATCAAGATGGATTTTAGCCAAATTTTGATTTCAGAGCAAAGCAGACTGCCTCTTTTTTTCTGCTTTCAGAAAATTTTAAATCATGTTTTACTTATGGGGCATTTACGTAGATGCCACCCAATTCCTATGTATTTACATATATAACCTCCTAAACTTTACTTTTTACATTATACCACTTAAATATTTCATATTACTTAAAAAAAACCTATATTTTTACTTTTAGAAAGTGATACACCTCTTCATGCATGGGTAAGATGGCATATAGGTAGAAAAAGAAGTTTAGATGTTAGATTGTATGTATGTAACTCCTCCTTTATTCATTGAGTTCTATTAATAACATTTCATGAATTCACTTATTTACTTATTTCCTCTTTCCAGGCATTGATATGCAGTACTGCAGCAGTTATCACCATACTCGCCGTTCTTATATAAGTCCAACCAACGGCTCCCTGGCTTTGGTGTTGTAAAAAGTTACACTACTGCTCAAAGTTTGCTGTTAATGGGTAAATTCATCAAAGGAACTCAAGATTTATTCGAATTTGGTGTTGTCTAATTCTGTTCTCTTCAAAGAAATTTACATAAAATCAATTTGGGCTTGCTTTGTTTGGGTAACCCAATACAAATGAGAGTGAATGCAATAAAATATTGTTTGAGAAATGTATGATGTAAAATTGAAGCTTCACTTCTTTTTATTTTTTGTTGTCCAAAGTGTTTGTTTTAAGTCAACATTTGACATTTATTTGAATGAAAATTGTGACTTTTGACTAAAAGGAAGCTTCAATTATGGGTGTTGTTGTCCAGCTGTGCATACATTTATTTGTTTTGTTATATCCCAACTCGGCTTCAAAGTCTTCAGTGCATAGTAAATACTTGTTATTCTTCTCAAAGAAAAAGGAGGTATTATTCAAAACTTGTTAAAGCAACGCAATGCCCAAGTGGTCCTTGTTCTTAGGATTGGCTGAAGAGCTGTGCTGAAATGTCAGCCCCCAAGTTTGAAGTTATGAAGAAGTCGCATGTATAATTTATGCAAATTTGTTGTATTTAATAGATTTTATTTGACATAGTCAGAATTGTTAGTTTTTTTTTTAAATTGAATAATAATTTGCCAAATGATTTCTGAGGCATATTTGGTAATGCCTAATAACTGTCCTGACTTATGAAACTGCAGGTGCAGTTGGCTCTGTCAACTAAGGGTTGTTAATGGTCCGGGTCGACTTGAAATTAGCTTGGATGGATTAATTGTGACTCGAAATTGGCTTGTTGCTCGTTATATTCGATTTTGAGTCAATCTGACTTCAAATTGAATTGAGCTCATTCCGGCTTGAAATTGAAATGGGCTAACTCAAACTGAGTTATTTGGATCAGTTTTAGCTCGGAAGTGGCTTGGTCCGGTTCAAATTGAGTTATTTTGATATGTTCCAACTAGAATAAGATAGAAATTGGCTTGTGGCTCCTTATATATAATTTACTTAGCATTATATATATAATTTTATGAGCTGATGTGGTCAATTTGAGCCGATCCTAAATTTTGGATTGATCATGATGAAGCTAATTCTAAATGAGACAAAGTTATAAGTATTGTTAAGCAAATTATAAAAGATGTGTTTCGAGAGTCAAAAATTATAAATAAAAATAGTTGTTTGTAGAATAATAATGGGCGTAGTCGCCTATAGTGCAGATATTTTGATTGACATAGTATTTTCCTATTCATGCTGGATTAAATCAGAAATAGGCTTTATGCTCATATCTTTTTTTCTTTACTTTTGGATGTTTTTACTGTATATTTATAATATGTACCTTATTTTATGTTTTTCACTAATGATAGTCTTCTTGTGGATAAGAATAGAGAGAGAAAGAAAGAGAGAGTTCATATTTGAATTATGGAAGTTAACTTTAGAGTTTAAAGGCTTTTGTTCGAGTAAATCTAATACTGAATACATTGGATGTAATTTTAATAGTTGTAGATCTAGTAGCAGTGTTGTAACAATGAGTCTTCAAGTCAATAAAAAGAGTGGATGTTTTAGATATCTTAGGTCTTTTGTTCAAAGTTATGGTGAGATATATGAGGATGTTATTAGCAGAATTCTAGTTGGGTGATTGAATTGGAGAAATGAATCAAGCATATTATGTATAGAAATGTACTATTTAAAGTGAAAGAAAAATTTTATCATAAGGTGATGAGACCTGTAATGTTTTATGCCACATAATGTTGGTCTTTAAAAGAGAAGCATAAAATAAAATAAAGTGTCGCTAAAATGAGAATGCTCAAGTGGATGAGTGACTTTACACTTAGAGAAAATGTGAAATGAATATATCCATGAAATGGTTCGAGTAGCTCCGGTGGTAGACAAGATTAGAGGAGGTCACCTTAGATGGTTTGGTCACATTAAAAGCCGAACATTTGATGACCAAGTTAGGAGAGTAGATGTTTTAGATTTAACTATGTTAAAAAAGGTAGGTGTATAGGAAATTCATAAATTGATTAGGATTCTAATTTGAGAGTTTAAATTTTGGAAAATTTGCATAAATACCTGTTGAATCTGAATTTGTCCCTAAATCACACAATGAATAAAATGTAAAATAGGAGAGATAAAGGAGAGAGAGAGAGAGAGAGAGAGAGAAATGCATATTAATGAACAATAATTTGAGAGAGATGTGGAACCCTTTATTCATAGAGTGATCTCTATTTATAGAATATGTGAAATGAAATTTGTCTTTACTTTAGTTAGAACTGTACATAGTATTATTGGTATTTTACATAAGTAGGCTTAGAGTCTGACTTCTTTAAGGCTTGGCTGGTTGGACGAATGACTTATTGATAGACTTGTGTTTGTTAAGCTAGAGAAGCCCGCCAGCTGTACTTGTCCTATAAGGACTACCGGTTGGCTAGGCATGATGTTGCCTGTTGGCTAAACATTTACTGGCAAAGGATCAACAAGATAAACTTGGTCAGCTAAGTTATGCCGATCGGTTGGTCAAGTTTGGATGCCTCGATCTTTAATAAAGTCCCTATAGACAGAGCAGAACAACGCTATCAAACAAAGGGTTCTGATGGGTAACTGCTCTTAAACGAAAATGTCCTGAGGAATGAGTGAGACTTGCCTTACTAATTATTGATATTATGGGAGACTGTTGGATGTCTCCAATAGAACTGTAGGATCCAGTGGATCAGCTTCTCCCTTAGGTTGGTTTCATTGTAGGGAATGACATAGTTCCCTCAGCACTTTGCTTTCGATCGAACCACCCGGGTTCGAACTATTTGGTTACCTTGGTTAGTCTTAGTCTTGATACCTCTTATCGAAAAATTGGACTTTCAAGTCTCTTTTTCGACAGGTCTTCCTTTGACACGTCTTATCTCATATGCACTATCAGATCTCCTCAAAATTTGTTATCGCTTTTTCCATGTACAATACCACAATTCTTACGCAAATACTTGTCTAACAAATTTTAATATGTACACTAGACATTGTGTTATTAATTTAGGCATGTAAATATATAAATAAATATATATTTATTTATTTTAAAAGAATAATATGAGTCATATTTTAACGGATGTTAAAGATTTGATTTGTATTCATGCAAATTTTATATTTGTAAATACATAAGAAATGTGTGGTGTACCATCGAATCATATAATTCCCTGAAAAAAAAAAAATTTTGAGCTCACTTTGATCCACAAAGTAACCTTTGAAACTATTAAACTCATTATAATATAATTTGTTTTCCAGTCTATCAAAAGCTTTACAATAATTTATATATAAAAAAAAAAAATGAACACCCAGTTCTTAGTCCAAGAAAATTGGAACAAATATCTTGATGACATTTGTCTATTAAAATTGCAAAATTAACATTACACTAATCTCAACATAAATTTATTAGTTACAAAATCCAATTCCTTTCTTTTCATGAATATTCAGACTGTAATATGCATAAATTTTGAAATCACATTCTAACAAATCTTATCACAAAAATCCATTTTCATAACAAGTGTTTCAAATAAATTTAAAAAAAAAAAATTCAAATTAAAATGTAATAATTGGCGAGGATGCGAATCCAAATGATCAACAAACAAAATTCAAAGATGTTACTTAATTTTCTTCTTTCTCACTTCCCTAACAAAATCTGTATAATTTAGAACTTGCTAGCCGACGCATTTAAATAAGAAAATGTTCAAATAAAACAATGGCACAGAGAAAATACGGCCAATTCTCAACGACTACACCAGTCCTGCCTCTGCAAGCTTCATCCAGACTTAAATCAGAGAAATCACACGTTATCTGCATTGAATTAAAAAAATATTAATCAATGATTATAAAAAAAAACGAAGGCCCATTTACACACCATACAATTCTTATATATTTACATATTTAACACCTAAACTTTACTATATACATGCATAACACCTATATCTTTAACATCAGACCAAACATCAAACATTAGGGGTTGGATATGTAAATACAAAAAAATTGTGGTTTGTATGAAAATTAAACCAAAAACTAAGAGAAAAACTGTTACCTTCTTATAATAGAATCTTAAATTATATTAAACAGCTCGTTTCCTTGACTAGGACTTGTTCGCCTTGTCTGCCAAGAAAATGTGCTTGTTATCAATGACAAATCTAGAGCTTGAATTAATCTGCAGCAAGAATTGGTCAATTTAAACCTGCATAATCAACCAAAATACGAAGAAGACGAACGGGAATGTTCGAAGCTTCACCTTCTCCATCATTGTATCACATAGCTGCAACTCTTCTCCGGCAATGCCTGATGCCTTGAGTTCCTTCATTACAAGCTTTTGTACCTTCTTTATCTTCATGGCTCCATCGGGTTTCTTCCAAAAAAAAATCCAATAACATTATTATATTTTTCGTTCTCTAGAAGATTTATCATGATTTGGATGCATATAAATCGATTCAAAGACTCAAACACCATGATTTTTCTCTATGATTTGCTTGCTAATTTCATTTTAGAAATGTTTAGAATATAAAAAATATCTTTGCTGCAGGCGGGATTCAATTCCAGATATTTGGCAAAAACTACTGAAACATTTTATAAAGAGCAAAGTATCAAAATAGTCCCCAGAATCTTTTAATGGAAGCTAAATTAGTTTCCTTGTGGTCAAATTTAACACATTAAAATAGTTTGGGAACTACAAAGACACTTCTATAGACTTTAAGACTAAATTGACCCCTTGCAAAGAATCAATGGATCATTTTGACACTTCTCATTTAATAACTAAACTAGCTAGCACCCAACTCCAAAAATTTGAGGAATAACGAAGAAAAATGCAGAATGAATGAGACAACTATGAAAGATTCATCTTATAGTTCAAAAAGTGTACCGATTTCAAGGCGGAAATAACTAGTTTCTTCCACTTTATTTTCTTCTTCAAAGCCACCCCGTCGTCCGCATGATTGCCTGTGCATTCAGAGTTAGGTGGCTTCGCTGCAAACTTTGTTTTCTTTGATGGGTTCTTCTTTTCCTTTTCTTCTGCTTGTATAACTTCCCCATTGTTTACATCACATGCAGTACTAGTAACAATCACACTATCAACTTCATCATGTTTCCTCTTTTCGCCAAACATCTTTTCTAGGTTGACTACTGATGTATCATTTGGCTTGGGTTCATCCGCTTCGGAACCATTTTTTTGAACAGGTCCTGAATATGGATTAGAAACTGAATTGTTTTTGTTATTAACTTCTGTTTCTTCAGTTTGATTATAATGTTTCTGAGCAGCAAGGGATGCTTTGGCCTTTGCCCGGTGTTTCTTTCCATCAGCATGTAGTAATAAAGTTTGCTTGCTTGTAGTGGGTGTATTGCACAGGCTGCCATATATTCACCCAAAATAAAAGGTAAATCATTTAGTGGTTTCTTTTTATCTTTTTTCTTTATTTTTTAGTCATTCGACAAAAATTAAACACCAAGGGCTTGTTGGGGATAATTTTTGTTTTTGTTTTTTATTTTTATTTTTAAAAACATATTAATTTGGTGCATTTTTAAGCTCTTTTATATTTTGCTTTTTATAAACACTTGTAACAATATTTAGAAGTTTTAAGTGTTCTTAAAAAAAAACCCATCACTAATAAATATGTTTTATTTCAAAGTAAAACATAAACAATATAAAATTTAAAAAAAAAAAAAAGTGGTTCCAAAAGACCCCCAATCATTTGATGTGTAGCCTTCATGTATATGTTCATTTAAAGTTGTTGGAAACAATTTTAGGTTTCATGCGGCTAGAAAAGTTTGACATGAGCCATGGGCTCAGGCGCTTAGCGTTATACTAACATGATGCATTTGATGAAAGAATTTAGCTTAAAACATAATGATAGAACACTGTGTTATTGTATAACATCAACTTTTTACTCTTGAATACAAATATATACAGTTTAATGTGGAGCAAGGATACTGAAAATTTTATGATCAATTAGGAGATAAATAATAATAAATCACCAAATATACAATAAAATATTATTTTTTTAATATTTTTAATACCTTAAAGATAAAGTTTTGAAATTTAATATATTTTGAGTATATTTCATATTAATATTTTTTTAAACAAGCCGGCTCACAAACTAACGAGTCGAGTTGGGACTAGCTTGAGCTTGGCTTGTTAGCTCATTGAGCTCAGTTCACGAGCCAACCACACCCAAAAAAATCATCAAAAGAGGTTCGTTGTGGTGAACATATCAACAAAAAACAAGATACAAAAGAAAAATGTTGGAAGCTTCGTGGCATGCCACCAAACAAAAAGCCAGACAACAATATAAGAATAAGCGAAAGAACCAAAATATGCATGCGTAAAACATGTAGAAGAAAGTAACATCAAAGCATCACATATTAAGTTCGATAAAATGATGAAAAATTAAAGTTTAAAACTGGTCGAATATCACTAGAAAAGACTCCTATGCAGGTATTTGTTCATTCTCAATTACATCTCTTTTCATGCTTTTAAACTCTTGAATATGTCATATCCCAGTAAATAATTGATTTAGGAACTCAAATCATATGATCAACTCTTCACATAAATTATTTCATATGTTCCATATTCAAACAACATAAAAAATAATCATTGTCGAATGATCCTCGATGATAGGTTTAGCCAAAAAGGCATTCTTAAAAATAAATCTCTTATACTTTGAAACATCCTTGATGTACCTAAATTCTTCACTGGCTTATTATCTATAGAACAACAACAACAACAAAGCCTTAATCCGACTACGAGGGGTTGGCTACATGAATCTTTTTTTTCCATTGCGTCTAATTTAGTGTCATAATTTCATTTAGTTCTAATAAATTAAAATCACTTTTTATACAATAAGCCCAAGTCTTCCTAGGTCTACCTCTGCCTTTCTTAACATATATCGAATCTAAAACATCTATTCTCCTAATTGGACCAACAGATGGTTGACACTTAATGTGACCAAACCATCTAAGACGACTTATCTAAGACGACTTTCTTGACGACTTTCTTTAATTTTGTACGTCACAGGAGCTACACCAACCCTATCACAGATATATTCATTTCGCAACTTCTCTCTAAGTGTAAAGCCACTCATCCACCTAAACATTCTCATCTCAGCAACACTAAACTTAGTATTATGCTTCTCTTTTAAAGGCTAACATTCAGCGCCATAAAGCATTATAGGTCTCACCGCCATCTTATAAAATTTTCCTTTCAATCTAAGCGGTACTTTCTATCATACAAAAGGCCTAAAGCATTCCTCCACTTCAACCAACCAACTTGAATTCTAATATTAACATCCCAATCTATATCACCATCACTTTGAACAACAACCCAAGATATCTAAATCGTTCACGCCTTTTAATAATTTGATAACCCAAAGTTACACTTTTTTCGCTAGAGCTACTACTACTAAAATTACATTCCATGTATTCAGTTTTAGTCCTCTCAAATGAAGGCTTTTAGACTCCAACGTAGACCTCCATAATTCAAGTTTTTCCTGGGTTTTTTCTCTCATCTTATCCACGAGAAGGATATCATCAACAAAAAGCATACTCCAAGGTACACCCTCCTGTAAATGTCTAGTAAGACCATCCGTAACTAAAGCAAAAAGATATGGGCTTACAGCCGATCCCTGATGTAATCCAGCAGAAATAGGAAAATATTTGGTCAATCCTCCTTCAGTTCGAACACAAGTAACAACTCTAATATACATATCTTTAATGACTTGAATATAAGTCATATCAACATCTTTCCTCTCAATAACTCCTCAAAGGATATCTCTTGGAACCTTATCTTAAGCTTTTTCTAAATCAATAAAAATCAAATGTAGATTCTCCTTATTATCTTTGAACTTCTCCATCAAACTTCAAACCTCTTAATAAATGTATAACTTCCATAGTAGACCTGTCTGGCATAAATCCAAATTGATTAAGAGAAATATTTGTAATACGTATTAACCTATATTCAATTACTCTCTCCCATAATTTTAAAGTATGACACATCAACTTAATTCCTCTATCATTTGCATACTCTTGTGCATCCCCTTTATTCTTAAAAATGGGGACAAAAATACTCTTCCTCCATTCCTGAAGCATTTTTTTAGTTTCTAAAATAATATTAAAAAGTTAAGACGTATTCAAAATATAAAGCAGAATTTTACTGTATACATTATGTATCTCAAGAATATGGCGTAAGGAAACAATGGGACTTGCCAAGAAAGAAACACTCACTGCCACATTGAAGAATCTAATGATCAAAGAAAGCTCTAAACTAGCTATCATATAATGATAGTTTAAAATTGTATAATATGAGGACCGCTTTGAAGCACGTCTCAACATTTTTTAAATTGTAATGAGGTTTGCGCCTCATTAGATACCACACGAGGCTTGCACCTCACATAATGTGAGGAGAGTTGTAAGGATGTGAAGCGAGGCACACCATGCGCCTAGCTCAATTGTAGTGAGACGTGCATTATTAGAATAATGATTATTCTCAAAATAAATATACGTAAAATAATTGTAATAAACATACTTTATTTAGCCATATAATACATGGCTTGAATCTATGTAAAGTTGTTACTATCAACATCCTCATTATTTTAAAACCAAATACATATTCTTATTAATTAATATTGACTAAAGAGGAAGTAGATTGGATTTAAGACAATGAATTAGATAACATGAACACAATTAAGGAAGAAATGAGAGAAAAAGTAAATCGTTATGCTAATGTTTATAATGAAGGCTCATTAAGTGACAAGAGTGATGGTGACTTTTAAATTTAGAACTTCTAACGTTAATAACTTGTTGTGTTCTTACATTGATGGATAACAATAAGAGTGAAAAAAATAATTGTAACGAACTTATTTTAAATTCATACGTTATTATGTCTTTGATGTTTGTATAATCCATTTTAGTTTATAGTTTGATGCTTGAAAATTAACTTGTTACTCTTACTATAAATAATTTATTATTTCTACTATATTAGGGCATTAAATACTACATTATAACCTATTAATATGTAAGGACATTAATATGTTACTTTTACCACAAAGTTTGAATTTAGTACAATGTTTCTTGCATTGCATAATTTGTTGATTTTGAGGCTTACACCTCAAAGTGCCCGAGGCATATGCCTCACCACCCAGATAAAGAACCCCACAATAGCTAATCGCCCAATTTAAAACTTTCCATATAATCTTTCATTTTAGAAACATATAAATTCAAAAAACAAAGCATAAGGTTCCAACACATATATAATGGTCACCCTTCTTAGGTTATCCTTAAGAGTTTATATACTTATTAAAAAATATTGATATTAATATTTCACTATGATGCTAGTGTAAAAAAACAAAAGCATGTCAATTTTCCAATAAGTAATACAATAATCTAAAGTCATTTTCTTGTTCATATTGACATCTGGAGACTATCTTCTACTCCTAATATATTTAGGGCTTGGTAGTTTGTATCCTTATAACACGTGTATCATGGATCTCTCTTCTATAAGCTAAAAGTGATGTAAGTATCATCGTCCCCACCTTTTTAATATTGATAAAAAATTAATTTGATATTGAAATTAAAAGAATAAAATCTAAAAATGATAATGACTTTTTAAGCAATTCTCACTTCTTACAATTCCATAAGAAAAGAATAATACATGAAAAATTAAATACATTTCCACTTGTTATTGTAAAAGCTCTCCTTTTAAAAGAGAATGTTTCAAAACAATATCGAGAATAAGCTATCTGAACAACCGCTCACATCATAAATTGATTATGCAAAAAAAATTGTTGACCAAGTACTCAAATCTTGGTCAAATTCTTTACTCAGCTCAAGACCTCAATAATTTTATTTCAATATACTAAAAATTTTTACCTTTATCCATACAAAACCTCAAAAAAGAATAAAACATGACAGCAATCAAATGTATTTTTATCGACTACTTTCAACTGAAAAAAAAAGATACAAATGGAATCATCCAAACTAAAAAAAATATTTACTCAAGTATTCTACTTTTTTCTAACATAACATAATTTAAAAGGATTCTACTTTTAGTTACTTACCTCAAGAAAAAAAAATACCATTCACAAATAAATTATTCTACATTGGTCTTCACACTATACCTCACCCCAACAAACAATTCTACTTTGGGACCTACCACTCTTAAAATTATCAAGCTTAAATCAGAACCACCTTCTGTTCCACCATTATAAGTACTTAGGAAGGAAGGCAACTCAATCAACATGAATAAAATCAAGTAAATTAATCCCTAGCACCAAATTTGTTGAGGGAATCGCTGAGCTTACAGACAAAGATACTTCAACAGTAATTTTTTTTGTATCTGTGCTTATACTACAAAAAT